TGCTGAGTTGTCTGTTTATTTCGTTTGTGGTTTGAATTCTATATTTTCGGTACATTTCACATATGTCTTATTTGTCAGTATAGTCGAGTTACTAGTGGTTCGTCTATAGGGATTTTGGTTTTATGTTGGTTTTTTTTTCCATGTGTGTTTACGGTTTGGTCTTACATAATCTTGCCTTATATTACAGTTATTTTATTTTTAGCTCACCGGGCCCGAAAGGCCCCATGTGAGCTTATACCATCACTTGGCGTCCGTAGTCGTCCGTCGTCGTCCGTCGTCTGTCGTCGTCTGTCTGTCGTCGTCGTCGTCGTAAACTACTTTCAAGAATCTTCTCCTCTGAAACTACTGGGTCAAATACCTTCAAACTTTAACTGAATGTTCCTTAGGGTATCTTGTTATTAAATTGTATCCGAAGTTTTGATCCATCGACAAACATGGCCGCCATGGCTAAATAGAACATAGGTGTCAAATGAAGTTTTTGGCTAATATCTCAAAAACTAAAGCATTTAGAGCAAACCTGACGGGGTAAAAATGTTTGTTATGGTCAAGATCTAACGGCCTTGAAATTTTCAGACGAACCGAACAACCCATTTTTGGGTTGCTGCCACTAAATTGGCAATTTTAAGGAAATTTTGCAGTTTTTGGTTATTATCTTGAATATTGTTGAAGATGAAGATAAACTGTAAACAGCAAAAATGTTCAGCAAAGTACGATCTACAAAAAAAATTTTAATGACCAAAATTGTCAATTGACCCCTTCAGGAGTTATTGCCCTTTAAAGACAATTTTACACTATTTGTTCAACATGTTTGCTAACATTAACATTTCTCCTCTGAAACTACTGGGCCTAATACTTAATCTATATAATTTATAAATTGTATCCGAATTTTTGATCCATGAACAAATATGACCGCCATGGCTAAAAAATAGAACATATGGACCAAAAGCAGTTTTTGGCTTATATCTCAAAAACTACAGCAGTTAGAGCAAGAGTGAAAGGGAGTTAAAGTGCTAAATTGGTCATGATCTATCTGTTATGAAATTTTCAGACAAGTTCGACAACCCATTGTTTGGTTCCTGTTGGAAATAGTTTATTTTTATTAATTTTACTGTTTTTGGTTATTTTCTTTAATATTATAATAAATATAAAGAAATTATAAATGGCAATAAATGTTCAACTAAGTAAGATTTACAAATAAGTCAACATGATCGAAATAGTCAATTGACCCCTTGAGGAGTTATTGCCCTTTAAACGTTTTTTTTCACATTTTTTGTGAAAGTCTAATTTCTTTTTCAAAAATATTCTTCTCTGAAACTACTTGACCAAATACTTAAAACCTTTAATTGTATGTTTCTTAGGGTATCTTGTTTATGGATTGTATTCGGGGATTTGATCCATTCATTTGATTCCATGGCGGCAGTTTCTAAAAATCGAACATAGGGATCAAATGAATTTTTTGGCTTTCATCTCAAAAAACTAACGCAGTAAGAGCAAAACTGACTTAGGTGGTGAAAGTGTCAAACAGGTTTAGTTCTTCTTGCCAAGTAATCTTCAGACCAATAGGACAACTTATTGGTGGGTTACTGTCCAGAAATAGTTAATTTTTAGGAAATTTTACAGTTTTGTGTTATGTATTATCTTTAATATTATTATAAAAAGAGAGAAAGTGTAAATGACAAAATTGTTCAGCAAAGTAAGATCTACAAATAAGTCAAATGCCTGAAACTGAAATTACAGGTGAGCGATGTCAGGTTCTCATGAGCCTCTGGTTATTCTCTTTATGAATGTAGAAGTTAAGATAATAAATCAGCTACATCATTTATATGATTTTTAGTTTAGAGCAACTATACACAGGATTTTTAGTTTATACACTGTTTTGATTTAGAAATTTATTTTTAGAAATTTACCTGTGATAATATAAACGTCACAAAAAAACGTCACTTTTTGTGACGTTGATCCATTCATGTGACGCGCAGTTTACATTTCGTTTGTGGTGTCATGGTGTGCTGTCGTAAATTCATGGGAGGTATCCGTTGTTATTCTGCGGTTTACATGTTGTAATGTATTATTATATTATTTATTTATGTGATTCTCTGTGCTGAGTGTTCTTGCATTTGTTTGTACTGTATTCCTGTTACGTAGTGTTGTCATTTTAGCGGTATTTTTAAAATTGCCATACAAGCGAGAGGTTTGGCTAGCCATAAAACCAGGTTCAACCCACCATTTTTCTTAAAATGTCCTGTACCATGTCAGGAATATGGCAGTTGTTATCAAACAATCTGTTTCTATGTATATTAGCGTTTAGTTTTGTTGTAGGTCAGTGTTTCTGTTGATCCGTTGTTTTCCTCTTATAGTTGATGTGTTTCCCTCGGCTTTAGTTTGTTACCCGGATTTGTTTTTGCTTAATCGAAGTATGACTATTGAACAGCTGTATACTACTGTTGCCTTTATTTATCTTGAAACAGTCTTCGCACGATTATCTTTCTTCAATTTAATAATGATTTTGCCGAATATCAGCAAACAAAATTTGAAGACCACATTTCATTTAAAGTTTGCATTATATGTTGTTGAAACATTTTGTTAATTAAACAATTCACGGTAGGTAAAGTGTCCTGCTGAGATCGTGTCTTTTTCGAGCGAATTGTTCAACCTTTTTCAAGTGTAAAACAGGTTTTTACATTTGATATCACATACGAACGGATCGATTTACTGCTATTTCGTAAGTATAATAGATGTATTCATGACTGTTCATCTTATCCTGAATACTATACTATGTTTTGAGCACAAACAACGCACAATTTTCCAAGAGTTCACTTAAAATGCAGTCCTTTACATTGTCCGAGTTATTTCCAGAGCAACATTTAATATAATTAGAAACTGACTTTGTTTTAGTTGATAACTGTATTTTAGGAAGGATAATATCATGTATTTCTAGTAAGCCATAAACATATTACTATGTCGATCAAATTTAACCCTTTTCAATCTAACGCTAATTTTCTGTTCTGAAAACATTTGTCCATAACCTTGCAGTATGGAGATATAATAGAAATCACAAGATCCTTTATAAAACTTCTTTAAAAACAGAATACAGGGGAATCATAATCTTTTCAATTGCATTTCATGCTACCTTTGTTTTAACAATCAATAGTATTTTATGATAGATACAATTAACAGTGACAAATCCCGGAGTTTTAAACTAGGTGTAAGAAAACTAAGGAGCAGCAGGGAAAAAAAAGAAAATGTCTATATGATATTTTCTCTTTCTTAGGCACTTCTTTCTGTTGGAAAGGACGCGTTAAGGTATTATGGTGTTTTTTTGCTGTGTGATCCAGTATACAATAGGCTTGATCAGACTCCTTTGTACAGGAGTGTTATTTGAACATTATTCTTGTTTTCCATATCTTAAACGATGAAACAAATTAAAATCTAGACAAATATTAAATGACAAATTTTGGATATGTTTTCTGTTTAAAAAACCTACATATACCCACTGAACACACTACGTCTCAATCCAACATGTCTGTGCTTACATCATAACACAATGTTGACTGCTCTTCGCCAATTTTTACATTTTTACCTATTATATAAATAAGAAGATGTGGTATGAGTGCTAATGAGACAACTCTCCATCCAAGTCACAATGTATAAAAGGTCTATTATGTCTGTTTGTTTTGCTCACCTATTGTTTTCAATATAATGGAATGCTTTAGGACTGTCATAAAAGTGGGAGGTTTAGCTAGCTATAAAACCAGGTTTAATCCACCATTTTCTACATAAGGAAATGCCTGTACCAAGTCAGGAATATGACAGTTGTTTTCCATTCGTTTGATGTGTTTGAGTTTATGATTTTGCCATTTGATAAAGTACTTTCCGTTTTGAATTTTCCTTTTAGTTCGATATTATTGCTATATTACTTTTTGAAGTTCTGGATAAGATTGACTTAAAAAGAGTTTTTTTCAGTTTTCTTTAGTTCTTATAATAAAGTCGAAGTTATCCTTCCGATAGTTTTATGGAGTCCATCCTGATATAATTGACCGTTCATTTGTGAATTATTTTTTAAAATGCTTCAATACACAATTTGCAAGTGATTTTTTTCTTAATGCTTAAAAGCAATTTATCAAAGACAGACCCTATGCAATTTGTAGGTTGGAAGTTGTTACTTTAGACTCGAAGGGTTGTTACACAGCACATGATTTATCGTGGTATCAAGATGGAAGAACGTCTTTCGTAAAAGATGATAATATTGACCATCCACTCACTTCACTATAACTTTATTTGAAACGTTTATAGATATATATATATATATCCTGTAGGGCAGGATGATAAATATATATATATATATATATATATATATATACATATTTATCATCCTGCCCTACAGCTATATCTGTTTCCTCAGCGTATCAGTAAAACTCGTATCACGATAGCGCGTGCTCTGAGGAGACATTATCAACTTGAGGAGGAAATATCAACAAATTCTCCCAACATTTATTCCATCATTGTAATGATAGCATGTCACTTACAAAGATGACTTGACCAAATAAATTACACTTGCATACCAATTTTTTCATTGTGCAATTTTTATGTTGCAAAATTTACCTTTTATGCTTGAATATGCAATAGTAAAAACGTGTCCCACCGGATTCTAAATAACGTCTGCCGGGACTACTTTTTTTTTAAATTGAATCTGTGACCTTACATGAACTCCTGATATGACCTTCATTGAGATCAGTCTACCGAAACAAATGTCAACAAAGCGGGGGTGGAAAATTTAACGATTAAAACTATATTTACAGTATAAACCAATTATTCACAGTAAAACCAATAACAAATTAAATCTAAATTGTTTAAATGCACTTGTGTTTAATAACAGTAAAGCTAAAACATTTTACATTAAATTATGAAAAGTTCTATATCAGAGCTCAAACACCCTATTCCAGACAAGTCTAAAGCACTTATTTCGTCTGCTGAAACAAAACAAAACAAAACAAAACCACAAAATGGCCACTGATACTAAGAGTGAATCATGGGAATCAGGAGACAATTCAGACACAAATACATTATTAAGTGAAATGGACAGCCCTTCATGCAGTTACTGAGACTTCTCAAAACCAAATTCAAGCGCTAGATATAAATATCTCCCTGTAAATGTTCACAAAATTCAAAAACAAAGTGCCACAAATGCAAAACAAAAGGAAAATGCAAAGGAAGACAAGAACACTAAAACTGACAGTGATCAAACTGCATCTTTTGGCACAACATCCTTAGCAAAAGCATCAGAGAGTGACTGTTTCAGTGATGTAACAGATGCGGATATAGACTCCTTCCTTCAAGAGCAACTAAATAAAAATACTTCCAAGAAAACAAAGTCTGATTTGAAAATTTTCCAATTGTTCTTAAAATCAAAACATGAGGAAACCAGAAACATTGAACAAATACCACCACAACAGTTGGACAGATATCTTAGTTTTTTTCTTTCTTAGCGCCATGAAGGAAAAACAAACAAATGGTACTATTGAATATGAACCATCATCTCTTAAGTCAATACAGCAGAGCATTAGCCGACATTTAAAGGATAATGAGTATGAATGCAATATTATAACTGATGATGAGTTCCACAAAAGTCGTCAGACTCTGAGCGCAAAATTTAAAAACTTAAAATAACGTGGTCTTGGTAATAAACCCAATGTTGCAGACCCTTCGACAGATGACGATCTCAACACATTTCATATGAAAACAATTATGGTGTCAAATATCCCTCGCTCTCTTATAAACACAGTATATATTAATAACAATTACCATTTTGGTTTAAGAGGAGTTACTGAACATTACAATTTATGTTGGGGTGATATATCACTAAAAGTTGACACAAATGGAGACGAATACCTTCAGTATTGTCGTGAAAGGCAAACAAAAACAAGACAGGGCGAAAATATAACAAATCTAAGAAAATCAGGACCAATCGCAGTAGAAAACAAAATTGACCGCACCAGATGTCCTGTGTTTCAATATAAACTTTTTCGACAAAAAAGCCCAGAAACCATAAAAAAAGATGATTCCCCTTTTTATATTCAGGCTTCAACGTTTCAAGATGATAACTATGAATCAAAAGTTCTTTGGTACAAAAATCTAAGACTTGGAACTAAATCCATTGCTAAAATAATAAAAGATATGGCCACGGAAGCACTACCCAATAACGATAAAAGACTCACTGGCCATAGTGCAAGGAAGGGTTCAATCCAAAAACAGAAAGACGATGGAGTGTAAGACACAGAAATTGTACAAAGAACAGGACATAAAAATGTTAACAGTTTGCTGTCGTACTCCAAAACAAGCTTAGAACAACAGAAAAAAACATTATTAATGCTATCTTCAACAAGAGAATTAGAGCATCCTACAGTTACCAAATCAGATAATAAAGAAAATACCGCACCAGTATTAGAGACAATAACATCAACACAGGCTCAATCAACTGTTATTTACAACAGTAAACAGTCAATTTACAAAGGAAATTTTAAATTTTCGAACTTACATCCCGCAATGAGTTGTCTTTTCACAAATGCAACATTCCATGGTGGAAATTTCAATTTTACCTTTAACAAAGGGACATCGTCAGATCAACAACCCTCAAAAAAGAACAAAAAAAGAGTCTCTGTGTAATTGACAGTGACAGTGATAGTGATTTCTAAAATATAATAATCATTCAATTCATGTATTAGTTGTGGGATTATTCAATTTTTTTATTACTCAGTATGCTTTAACAACTTTTTAAAACTAAACGCAATAAATATCTGACCAACAAATGTATTTCATGTATCAAATCAATTGCTAAAATAATATGAATTTCTCCAGATGCTCTACAAATAATAAGACTCACACTGTATCAGTATCATACTACAAGTGTAAAGAAAATAAAAATAGTCTTATATTGAAAATGTGTAAAAATATTTTTGCTTTAAGCAATTATGATTTAATGTATTTGCAAAGAGAGCAAATTACCAAAAATAAATCATCTTGCATATCAACCTATTATTACTAGTATTGTTTAAAGCGTCAATTTACTCCAAGTAACCTGAAACCTGTCTGCAAATAACAAAAAAATAAGAAGATGCAATATAAAAACACTTATAAAAAAGATTATCAACTTGAGATGAAAGCAAATTTACATGTCAGTCATGTATATGGCCTTTAACAATGATCAAAACACATACGCTCACTCGACATTTCATATTCTGGCTCGCAGGCTGATATTTTTCTATATCTATATATCCACAACCAGATAATATGTACATGTATAATCAATTATAAAATGAAAGGTAAGGATTTTTTTTTTGGGAAGGGGGGGGGGGGGGGGGGTGCATTAATGGCTGTTTATGATTATCAATTAGCATGTATGATTTGTCAGGTTTTCTACATATATTGATATAAAATACCAGTTGCAAGTTACGGCTATTTGTTTTAGGTATTTTTGTCATATAGCTCTTCAACTGTTTCGGTACTTATACATCCCTCGGATTTCAAATATTTGGCATTGAGCGTTCCTGATGAAGGTAAATCCAGAAAAGCGCTTCGGACGCATGAAATTATTAAACGTGTTGTTTTCAATTTTTTACAATGTTAAAACTGGTGTAAATCATAATTATATTGGCTATATGTACATTGATCATTCATATGAGATAGACTCAAGTAGGCAAAATATTAAATGATTTATACATGTTAAACATGTTAAGATTCCATTTATAGTATTTACTGTTTCAGTATAACTAGTTAGGATTTGAACCTAAGACCTTCTCATAAAGAGATGCTCTGACCCCTGAGCTACCTAGTTGAATACACTGAAAGCATAAACATTTCTCCAAGAATCAGAAACATGATGTATCTTATCATTTAACTCAAAGTTACCAACAGAATGATACATTTATATCAATGTACATAGACCAACAGTATGCAGCGAAGCAATATTGAAAAACATTTCAAAAATTCAGGTGATCTGGTTCTGTTATTGTTCCTATAATAGGGAAGAAAATACCTGCGGAAAATATGTTTTCCTCAATGATAACATAAGACAAAGCACTTATAGGAAATGGTACCCAAAAACTTGAACCAAATACCGTCCCAATGCAATTTGGTGGGGAAGTCGGTACAAAAATAACACCTACCTTCCATGTCCTCTCACGTACAAATGGCGGGTACAAGGTGCGAGATGTCGAAGTATTACTTACAAAAAGGACAATTTACCAATACCTGTCTTTCTCAAATTAACTTCTCCTTAACGAATTACGACTACTAAATATTTATGTTCTTTCAGACTTGATACAAACAACATTTTGATGCGATATTTCTGGATTTTTTTGTGTGCAGTGTATCCTTAAAAGTTGTTCAGCAGTCAGCGAGTAGACATTTTCTTCTTCTGGTGATATGAAATACTTCGATCTTTTAATCTATCATTAAGCCTTGTTTCTTCTTTTTTTGTATCATCTTCAAATATTATACATCCATATATGCATTATCATGTACAAAAAAACATTTTTTTTCGTGTAGTTAATGGGAATATTTTACCCTGCGTATTTTGGCCGCAAGGTGTTCCGCGGGGCTCACTCGACATTTAGCTTCATATTATGGCTCATGGGCTGATATTTTTCTATATCTATATATCCACAACCAGATAACATGTACATATTCAAGTCTAAATTGAAAACAACGTTCAAACCTATGATTGCGTTGGATAAAAACCGCAATTTTTATACGTGTGCATGCAAAACAAATTTCTTGGTAGAGGGGTCTAAATACAGCACAAACAACATTTTCCAAAAGACCAAAAAAGTGAAAAAAGTATATTTTAACAAAACGCATTTGACTAGCAGGTCGAACAACTGATGTTCTTAAACCCTGCTGACTGCCATTGCCGATTGCCAAATAAACGGATCACCAGATGTAACAAAATGGATCTTATAATAATTTATTACCAAACAGAAAACAATAAACTTGCGGAAAAGATGGTATACCGTAAACATGAGGTGCAAAAATTTGTACACCATATCCGGATTTCGACAATTAATGTCTCTTCAGTGATATTAGGAATCGAAACGGTATTTGGAAGGCCATATAATTTACCTCAATTTAGGATAGACTCTTGAATTTTGAAAGAGTCGAAATATATATACATATATATTTATATATGTCACAATTTTATGATAGCTTTTCTCTATTTGATAAACTAAGTTTATTCAATGCAAACATCATTACTACAAAAGCTTGGTCTGTAATTTAGTCCAATACTAGTTCTGTAGAAAACTTTGTATTTCACTTAGCGGGACTTGAACCCATGCTTCCGCGTCATCATTGCAACATCGCCTGCACTAAGTAAAACTCATAGACTACTTGGCATGTTGAGGTAAACAAATATAGCTTTCAATAATCAAGTAATGCTTTCCTTGTCTGCTTCAACTTGGTTTATAACATAACACATGATATATTGTCATATAAAGATTGTCAACCTTGCAGATCATTATTTAGTTTTTTGGTAAATCGTAAATGATTGTTTTATTCTTTGGTTAAAAATAGAATAAATAAAATCATTCTATATGAGATAATACATTATAAACATATAGGGTCCAGAAACAAGCAATATAGATTTTGTTAATCTGTTTCCAATAAAAGAAATCAAACCACTCATCTATAAACCACGATTATACAATTCTATAATCTACCATTTATATATTCAATTATTTCTGTGTGTGTATGTATTAAACGAATGCTGGAATTTCTCCTTCGTAAGTGAAAGACAAAAATCTTCCTTATAGAATAGTATATCGAGAATTGAGTTTGCTTTATCACAGATTATTGTTTACAAAATGCATAATAACTACACTTGTGTCGTGGATGGTTTATTTTAACACCACAGAATATATCCCATGTTATGTCGTTCTGTATATGTGTGAAATATTTGTCATTGGGTTTTAGATAAACAATCAATCTACCAATAACGTCAGATCTCAAATGACGAAACGTTTTCACAAGATAATCTTGTTTATCCAATTAGTAGCACCATCGGTAGAGGTGAAATCTCACACCCTAAGATCAGATGTAATAAAATGATAGAATTATTAAAAACTGTGAAACTGGTTTCACTAGCGATTATACCATGTGTTAAGTGTTATGAAGTTAGTTTTTTATGGCTTACGAAAGATGTGTTTTTGTCGAAGTCGAAATTGCAATCGCTGTAATAATCCGAATCAATCATACATAAATTACTGATAGAATTATTGATTTATTTTTAAGATCTTCGCAGGACTTCAATATGTGAAGTTTATTAATGTGCTGGTATGGTCATTAGCGGAATCATGTTGACCTTTTACATCTTTTACAACTGAGGTAACAACTTTTAAACGATTCTTCCTGTCTGATGAGTGTAATTATTGTGTACTGTCAGACTGTAGATTTCAAGATTGACTTTCATGAAACTAGTGATACTACAGATACAGTAAAATGTCAAATATTTATCATGAATATGAAACTAAGAATCAAATTTTGGCCTTTGGAAATCACTCAACTATCTGAAAAAGGACTTTGTCAGAAACCGGTTCTTTCGTGGAAAGTACACCAGCTGACGGCCTATGCGTGGCAGTGGACTGACCCCCGCGTGACGGTGGGCTACAATGTTTAAAGGTATTGAGTTGAGGTTGGAGATGTTAAATGAAAAATGCTTGGAAAATGAATGAAAATTCTGAATAACAAGTGAAATATTTCAAATGAAAATCAGACAAAACTGAGTGATTAGAAATCAGATGAGTATGAGTGACCCCCAAGTATTAAGAATTGGTAGACACCCCGGGATCACCTTCAATAAGTCAACGATAAACACAATAATAAACATGGAAACAAAGTATACACATAAATCAAGCAGTAGTACTAATGTCCTTAGATCAAAACTGACTATATTATAAATACAAATCAACGATAAATTAAGTCAGCAAGCTGATGCTGTGTTTACGTTTGATATTGCCAGATCATTCTGTCGAAAAGTGAATAATTCTTCCCTGCCGATATATATCTATTTGCATGCAACCTTCTAAATATACAAAATGAAAAAAATGCGATTCATGAAAAACAGCACACATCATTCGATTAATCTGATATCCGAATATTTATGTATTGGTCTATCCTTGTTGAGATTAATCTTAAGATCACATAAGGTAATAGTCAGATGTCCATGGTCCTAGAATTAACTTCATACCGTCTTCAATACTTTTGAAGATGCACTTGTTGAAAAGAATAATTCAAAGTAGTCGTTATTGGTGAAATCTCTCTAGGCTAAAATGGACTCACGGCCGGAATGAATTCCATTGTGAAGCAATGTATTGACACAACTTGATTATATATCTATATTAGAATAAAACCCGTCTGATGAACTCGATGAAATAGCACGCTATCATCATTGTCATGTGTATATATATATAAACTGTAATGCATATGTATAATGTTAGTAGCAGTATCTTTGAATTGCCGACTCATTCGATTTTTATTCTGGTCTGTTCAATGACTTCAATTAATGCAGGTTCTTAGATAACAAACAATGTAAAGAAAAGTCACGTGGTCGTGACTGGACAAAATATCTCTAGATCGAAATTGACTTCGGTTGGGCAATGAATGCCATTCTTGTAGTGAAACAATGTATTTGGAAAACTTGAGGTAAATGTACATAAGGAATATGACTCGTGCCATGAATGTCGGTCAAATACCAACAAATCAACATTGTAATGTTGTGAATATAAACTGTGATGTAGATATTTATCATCAAAAGTATCTGTGAATTGTCGTTTTCACGCGATCGTATGTATTTTGTCTCGTCGGTGACTTCAATGATGGAAGTTCTTTCTATACATAAAGTACAATATATATATCGCTGATCCCATAGATTGTATGACCATCAGGCGCACAGCTTCTCCTCCATGATCCAAATATGAAATACACAAAACAAATGTAAGGAACTATGCGCTCACACAGCTGGTAACATACTCTACCTAACTCTTGAAAAAATCAACCATAACTAGAAATATATTTTACGTTAAGCAATACCAGTAAGCAGTAAATCATATCTCAATCAATCAGACCAATGTACATAAGTACTTACAAAACGCGATACATGTATGAGAACATGATTCGTGATTGACACCATGCAATTTCACTCAGACCGATGCGGTCGTCTCAACTGTGAGAGGTTTGCTCCATGTTGAAATAGTCACTGTGACTTCTAGATGAAGGACGGCAATAAAAGGATGTTGTGATTTGATATGTAGGATCCTTTCTAACATTTACTCATTTGTTGGTAGTCGATATCGGTTGCGTAATATAATTTTTTAGGAGAAGACATTGTTACGTTTAAATGACTTGTTTGTCCTTGTTATGTTTCGCAAACAATAAAAACACCATCTTATAAAATTGTGCCTGTATTCTGATGATTTCAATCTTATTTCTTGGGTGGTTCTAAATGCAGTTGTAAACATTCAACATTGAGCTTGTTTATAAACATGATATTCCCATAACATAGAAAGAAACAAAAAAACAAAAAAAAACTTATACTTGTCTAAAATTTAAAATTGACTAAAAACCCGTCCGTTCTTATTTTCTCAATAACAAAAACGTTTTGAATAAAGTGTACAAATACATTAACATCGACAAATATCCTTTAGGGACATCCGAAAAAGCTTTGGTATTTGGAACCAAAACAGACGAAATTAAGACCGAGGAGCCGATAACCGACAAATCTTCAAAACGTTAAGTATATGGAGACTATAGTGATAATTTATATGCCTGAGTGACAATACTAGTAACTAAGATATTATCATGATCTTTAAAGTATCGAGCAAATAAAATTAAGAATGGAAATGGGGAATGTGTCAAAGAGACAACAACCCGACCATATAACAGACAACAGCAGAAGGTCACCAACAGGTCTTCAATGCAGCGAGAAATTCCCGCACCCGGAGGCGTCCTTCAGCTGGCCCCTAAACAAATATATGTACTAGTTCAGTGATAATGAACGCCATACTAAACTCCGAATTGTACACAAGAAACTAAAATTAAAAATAATACAAGACTAACAAAGGCTAGAGGCTCCTGACTTGGGACAGGCGCAAAAATGCGGCGGGGTTAAACATGTTTATGAGATCTCAACCCTCCCCCTATACCTCTAGCCAATGTAGAAAAGTAAACGCATAACAATACGCACATTAAAATTCAGTTCAAGAGAAGTCCGAGTCTGATGTCAGAAGATGTTACCAAAGAAAATAAACAAAATGACAATAATACATAAATAACAACAGACTTCTAGCAGTTAACTGACATTCCAGCTCCAGACTTCAATTAAACTGATTGAAAGATTATGTCTACATCATATGAATATTAGGCACAATCCTTCCCGTTAGAGGTTTAGTATCATACCATCATAACATAAATGAGAAGAACATAACCCGTGTCATGCCAACAACTGGTTTTTAAATAAATGTGTTTAGTGCCGATGCAAAGACCCTATAAGTGAATCAATATTAACGCCAAAATATGCAATCTTTAATGACCTGACAACAGTATCGTAACTATATCCCTTCTTAATAAGTCTAGTTAAAGGTTTTGTTAGCTTCAGAGGTGAATACTGACATTTTTGTGCTTTATTAAGAATATTTCCATAAAAAATTGGGTGTGAAATACCTGAACGTATAAGAAGTCTGCATGTTGAGCTATATTTACGAATGATGTCCTTATACCGATGTATAAGTTTACTAAATACAACCTGATGCAACATCTGATTCATATCGTACATGATATAAAGAATCTAAAGTTCTATGAACAACTGATAAATCATGTAATCACAGTAAACATGTAAATGATAAAACAATTTGATATAATTAATTAGAAACAAAATTGACATTCCAAACAAATCAATGCTTATAAGCGAAATTTCATGGAACTTTACGGACGAACTCTTATTAAAACAATTACTAGTTTGTTTTCTGCCTTTGACTCCATGTTCTATAAATGTATAAAATACACGTAATTCCTAATAATAAAATCTTGAAACTGTTAACAAGTGAATTCGTGTCGACATCAATTACGAAGCAATAAATCATGTTCCGCAATTTATAAATTGGGACATTAATATTGTATTCTGCTTTTGTGTAGTAAGATGTGAAGAAGGTATGTCAATTGAACCAAACACATTGTCTTTCTGACCATGAATTTTGAAGGTCTCCTTCCCGCTCTGAATGTGAACTTTATGTCACTTGAAATCAACCACTTACACACTGTATTGAAGAGCCATATAGACATTAATTCTGAAATTTATAAATCTTTTTAAATTATTTTGAAAAAGATTGTATATTCTAAAGCAAGGCTTGATATTGCTTTGTCTAAAAACGGTAGGTTTTCCAAAATAGAGGACGGTATAAAGCAATGACGTCATTTCCACACACGTGTATTTTTCCACGAGCGTTCAGTATAGAAAATTCAGCATTTCCCTATATGAATTAAATCAAACAAAAAGGAGCTTTTACAAATGAAGTAAAAATATAAGTCTGAAGATAACAGCAGTATGTCGTTATGACGCCACGCTTCCGTTATTGGATGAAATGACAGGTGACGGTAACTGACCAGTAAGCTTTTCTAGAATATTGTTGTCCATAACTGACAATGCGGTTATATTTGCGACAAAAGTTTCACAACTGTTTGTCGAAAACTTCATGTATACAGATTTCTGACGGCCAATTATATGTACCTATTCGTAAATGCTATGAGCCATTTATGTATAAATTTAGTCAATCTTACCGACGATTTCCGAGATTTTTCTTTGAGTTTCAAATAAAACCTGCTATAAAATTAAACATAGCAAATTCAAAATACCTGTAGTTAAATCCCCGAAACCATTTTTTTTTCAGATTTGATCAATAATATCGACAAGTTTGAGATTCTTCAGAAATTTCAGATAAAAAAAATGTTATTGAATGAAACAACGCTGTAGCGCGTTATTTCATTTTTAGGTTGACACTTTTTTTTTAATTTCATAAAGCTTTTCAAATATTTGAATCCATAAATAAAATCATTAATATATATTAGCTAAAATGTGATTGCAATTTTTTTTAATCTTCATTAATCTGCCGCACGTGGCAGGTCGCTCGACTCCAATCTTAATTTACTAAGATTGTCAGTTTTTCTACCGAAGGTGGGTGGTTGTCTCCGTGCACTCCGGCTTCCTCAACCAATAAAAACTGACCAGGACGAAATATCGCAATAGTGTAAAAGTGGCGTTAAACACCAATCAATCAATCAATCAATCTTCATTAATCTGACAGCAAAACGGAAATGCCCGTTACCTTCAGGCCGGGATCAATTTTTATTATACACATTTTTATTATTATGATATCCGATTCTTTCTTTGAGCTACAGATAAAAAAAATACATAGCTTGCGCGTTTAATTAAGATTTTTTTTGGCAATCCGATTTTCTTTTCAATAAGACTTTTCACTTATGTATTAATCAACTCACAAGGAATGCAGTTATATTTGCTTATAGATAAGAAGATGTGGTATGAGTGCCAATGAGACAACTCTCCATCCAAGTCCCAATGTATAAAAAGTTAACAGTTATAGGTCAAAGTACGGCCTTTAACACGGAGCCTTGGCTCACACCGAACAGCAAGCTATAAAGGGCCCCAAAATGTATTGTAAAACAATTCAAACAGGAAAACCAACGGTCTAATCTATATAAAAAACGAGAAACGAGAAACACCTATGAACCACATCAACAAACGACAACCACTGAACAGCAGGCTCCTGACTTAGGACAGGTGCATAAAAATGCAGCGGGTTTAAATGTTTTAACAGGCGCCAACCTTCACCCTAACCCGAGACAGTACTGTAACATTACAATATTGAACGTTTTACAAAAAAAAAAACATGTTGTCTGAAAATTTATATTTTCTAACAGACAATTGCAAATACCTTTTGGGAAAAGCGCTAGAATATTTTTCGTTCATTATTAGTCAATATTTTCAATGAATATCAAGACTTACCGTGATTTTGTTGTGTTTTTACGAAGTGATTTTTTTATTTATTTTCCATTTAAAAATTTTAATACAATTATAAAAATGCACTTTTTGTTTGCTGAATTTGTGTTCCACTGTATTATCTGAAACACTACACTAGTATAGATTTATAGTTTTTTGGAATACATAAGGGTATAAGCGCCAATCAATTTCTCGTCGTCTTCTTTATAATATTCCAGACTCTCTTCTCATTTTCTGGTCTAGAACAGATATTATTTTAATATCGCTTTAGCCTGGTATGTACGTAGGCAATTTGTTTTCATTAAAATTTAATTTAATCATTTCGTCATTCCGTCATTCCGTCAACAACGAACAGTTATACAGGCTTTTTTCAAAACGCCTTCCCATATTGAGCTAATTTTTAGTTGTGAGTCTACTATGTTGAGTTACAGATCGAGTTTAAGTTTGGTTCCGCTCCGCTGATGTTTGCCGAAATAACGGGCTTTGGACTTTGAATATTTCGTGAAAATGATAGTTTTACATACTGATTTCTAAACGGCTTCACATATTGAGCTGATTTTTCATATGTGAGTCTACTTTTTACCGAATTATGGGCTTTGGACTTTTTTAACGTGAAAATAACAGTTATACGGACTTTCATTCTCAAATTTCCAATCCTAAAAATGGCTTTAAGCTTTGTTTTTTTGCGATCGGGGCCAATCGTGTCGTTCCGACACATCTAGTTTTTACTTTTTTTTTTTATTTATAACGTTGCCAAAATATTATTTTCATTAAGCTTTTAAGTAGGTATTTTTTTTTACATTGAGCTTTTTAAAAATGATTACCCATAACTCATGAAGACGCCTATTGTCCTACAATCTGCCGATACTTATAAGTTGGTATTGTATGTA